CCTCCACGATGCAGAGCACCTTGCTGAGATGAAGCATGGCAGCTTGGCATAGCTAATAGATGTTGACCCTGCTAAAGAAAGCTCTGACTTTTGCTGCTTTAGGCCTGGCACTTGGCAAGGTGGAAAATCCATTCCCATTCTCTTTTGTTGCAGGCTTTAGAATGGATTGTTCTTCCATAAAGCCCTGCCTTGAGCTGAAGGAAGACTGTTTGCTGATTGCTTTGCTCTGCCTGGCTGCGGAGCTCTCCCTGGCTGCTCCTCTGTGAGATCATCTTCTGTCTTGGTGGGATGAATGAGCATTTGCCTTGAAGAAGCCACATCTGAGAGGGCCACAGAATAATTGCTCTTTGTCACCTCATTATGGTTATGCTAGATTTGCCAGACCATTGCATTCTGGGAATTCAGTTTTCTCAGAAAGTAAACAGGACTATAGCAGATGGTGGGGAGTGAAGAACGGTATTTTTTAGCTGTAACTGGCTCCTTGTGTGCCTTTTTTTTCCCTGCCTCATTTAAAGCATTTTCACAGAAGTGAGTGTGAAAACTGTTTGCAAGGTGTGGAAATAATTTTGCTCTTTTTAAAGGCTTTTTTTCCTCTCCTCCTACATGTGGCTTAGCTTACTTTCTTGAGCCATCTGGAGCTAGCTGCTCTGCCAGCAACTTTCAGCTCTGCACTTCCTCTCTTTCTCAGTGGTGGTGGCATCCTGCCTTTTGCACTGCACAGAGTGATCTCTGAGCTGTAGGAGACTGTTGTTGGCAGCAAACTTGTCTGGGTAGCCTTGACCCCATCCAGCTTTCAGTTTGCTTATTTTAGTGCTTATTGGGAACTACAATTCTTTCACTCCCATAAGCCTCAAGAGATTCCATTGTACAGCACCATCACATAGGTTGGACATCAACCCCTCTCATCTGATTGTGCTGGGTGGGGATGATGGAACTGAAATCCAAACATCAGCACCAAGAGTAGTGTCAAAACTGTAGGATACTCGGCAAAGTTGCTTTGCTCTGCCTGGCTGTGGAGCTCTCCCTGGCTGCTCCTCTGTGAGATCATCTTCCAGCACTTCTTGAACATAATCTGGGCTTCTTATCATATATGGTGCACCTTCAGGATCAAATGTAATTCCTGATGCCTTTTCTTTGTACCCCTCAGAAATACCTTGTTTACACCTATATTTTGATGCAGGAAACCAACAGACATGGTAGTATAAGTCCAATTAAAGAAATAAACTTTGTTCCTTCCCCAGATGTAGACCCCTCCCAGTTCTAGTTCCACTTGCATGCATGACATGACCCCATCCATTTTGTACCCTTATTTTATTCTCTCTACCTCCGTTCTGCCACATGTTTAAATTCAGGCTCTTGCTGCCAAAAGATGGGCTACCCCTGATGTAGCCTTGCCTCCTCTGACCTGTTGACAATGGAGGATGGGCAGTGTCCTCATCCTTTCCTGCCATTTTCCAACACCCCCAAAATTAGAATAGCTGCTGAGGCTTTATAGCTATGAAAACTACAGAGACAGCCAATGCATTGTGGAATTCTCTAAACTAAAAATGAAACCAAAGGAATAACATTATGGAAAGCCACCTGGTATCATTCCCTTGGGGTTCTTTTGTCACTCTAAAATAAAATCTCTAACTTAAATCAGCTGTTGGGAATGTTGCTTTCCAACTTCAGCCCCTGATTTTTATTTTTATTTTTTTGGTTTTGTTTTTAATCTCAAATCATATCTCAAATATGGGGGATCCTCAAGTATTAGAAAATAAGTAAATCATGCAGGAGTGGTATCATCTGGGTCCTATCTGCTAGAGCAGGGTTTCTCAATCTTGACAACTTTAAGATGTTGATCTTCAACTCCCAGAATTCCCCAGCCAGCATGGGAGTTGAAGTCCGCACATTTTAAAGTTGCCAAGGTTGAGGAACACTCGCTAGAGAATTCCATCTGGCAGGACCCATGAAGAGAGCCTTTTCTGCCATGGTGCCTGCCCTCTGGAATATCATCCCCCTGAGATTAGACTTGCCAACTCTGCTGGCCTTTCGCAAGGCATTAAAAACCTGGTTCTGCCATCCTTCTGTAGCCCTGGCAGTATGGGTGAGCCGGTTTCATGGTTGATTTGTATGTGAGACATTAAATGTTCTCAGCAGCTATTCTATGCTATTGATGTGTTTTTTTAAAAAAAAAAATTGGCTGTTTTATACTATTTTTATTTTGTTTGTAATTGTTAGCCACTCAGAGTCATGTATATGAGATGAGTGGCCATACAAATTTGCTGAATAAATAAATTCATAACAATCCCTTCTGATTTCACATAATATGGTAATAGATTGCAGGGAAATGCTAGAATTAAATGGGTAGCACATGAAGAAAAATGACTAGCTTTTAAGAAAATGAAAGTGATTGAGCAGTGTGTGTTTTAAAAAAAAAGGTCAACAAAGATCAAAATAACTCACAGGTTGTTGTTATTTTTTAATTTTGTTGCAAGCCAAATGGAAAAGTACATGTAGCTGTTTAATAAGCATTTTGTTTGGATTTTCTTTTCCTTTCCTTTCTCATTGATTACATATGCTGGTGTGGTTTGCTTATAAATGTAGCTGGTTCATTAGCTAATGCAAAAAAATGTTTACACTGAATTGCTAATGAAGTCTTCAGAAAGCCTCCAGGCTAGCACACCATTTATATATAGTTCTGACAACGCTGAGCACAGCTTCAGCCCCATAGAATTTTCACTTATTATTCAGATGTATATTTTAGTTTGAGTTTAGAGGAAGAATGCTCCCATGGAGGAGACATAGAACTGAAAGTCTTGTTCAGTGGATCTCTTTCTTTAGGTACTCAGGTGTTTGAAGGACAGAACGTGTGCTGGATGAGGGAGGGAGCAAAAATAAATGATTGTGGACTGTTTTGAGAAAATTTCATCAGAAGAAACAACCCTTTTGTGAGAGATTGTGGGGAGGCTGGAAAAGTAATGGAAGAGAAACTAGATCAAGAGTAATCAAGAGACAGAAGGGGAGCTGTTGAGGGCTTATCAGCAACCTGGTCCAGGTGGCAGAAAGCTTAGAATCAATCACTTCAAATCATTCAGAGAAACTCTGTCTTAATGAATGAATGAGGGTTCCTCCTGATGGTTTCAAGATTCTTTATTAACCCAAGAGCAGCTTTCAAGATACATTACTGAAGTCTGTCTGATTAATTTCTTGATCTTGCCCAGATGTTTGGGGCTTGACATGTCTTTCTGGAGTATCCTCTTTTTAAAAAAATTAAATATGACAGTCATATCTGGGATGAAATAGAGGAGTAGCCTATGATGATACAAACGGGATTTTGCCACATTTAGAAGCTTCCTAAATTGGAGAAAAAAAAGAAACAAATAATTTCTGGTCCCCCATTTTGGGAAATATAAAATCCAGTTATAAGAAACCAAATTGTGCACACTCTTTGTAACTCTTCAGTCCACCTAATAATGCTGGTGCCTTAATGTGGATGTTTGGATTTACTTTTTGTGGTAAGACTGCTTTTTTTTCCAAACTATTTTCACTATTAAGGATAGCTTTTTCTTTCTTTGATATTTTTCTCTTGTACATTGCATTAGTGGCATCTTTATCATTCACTACACTTTTATTAAAAATGACAATATATCCTGCTTTAAAAACTCAAATATAGTGCATTTTTACAACTTTGTTTCTAATGAAAGGATTTCTTTCACTTCTTTTTTCCCCCCTTGTTCAGGACTTTCAGAGAGTCCTTTTCCATGGCTTGGGTGAGATTAAAAACTAATTAATGTTTTGTTTTGCATTTCTTCTTCCAGTAGGAGATCCATTACCTCTGGGATTAAGCACAGATGTAAGAACAAGGTTTTAAATGGCAGAATTTGTAGGTTTAATGCTTTCACACAATATTTGTTCAATGTGTGGAGCAATTTGTGGGACAGAATTTATTTATTTATTTGATTTATATGGTCGCCCAACTCAGAAATTGTGATTCTGGGTGGTTCCAACCTTGATGAGGTTCCAAAAGGCTCTGTAGGGACCCAACCACATATCGCCTCCCAGAGAGCCTCGGGGACTCAGGAGGGACATAGCTCTAAGAAGCACATAGCTGGGTGCACAGGACCCCGTCCACTTCATCTGACTTGCCTAGACAGAGTCCAACTCTGAGCAGATCTAAGCAACTATCTGCCATATAGTTATTTTTCGTAGTGGCCCTGAAGATATTCCTGAGACTCATTCTTCGCCTGCAAGGAAAGAGTCACCCTAAAAAGGGTCACTGGATGGTCTTGGTGGACACAGTAGGTGGAGAAATAACTACATTTCACTGTCTTTATTGCCACAATGTAATATGATGAGCTCCTAAAAAGGAGAGAATGAAAGCAATATATGAAGTGGAAAGATTATTCATTTGATATAATCTTTTTCCTCTGGTCTACTTGCACATAAGCTAGAGGTGAGCAACGTGTGTCTCTCCATATTCTTCTCCCATGATTGTGGAACACTTGTCATGCTGGCCAGATCAATGGACAGGCTGCACATTGCCTATTCCTATCACAGTGTAGATCCAATCCAAGTATTTTGAAAAATACTTATTTTATCATCTTAAAATAAAGAAAACATTTTCAATACATAAATAATAAAATATTTTGAAAAATACTCTTATATGTGATACTTGCAAAGAAGTTAAATTACTGGGGATAAATTTGCCTTGAATTTTTTTTCTTTACTTTTTAGAATATAGAAGTTGCTTTATATTTAATCAAACACCTGTTACTTCCTCAGGATTGTATGCTCATGGTGGCACTGACTCTCAAAAATATCAAGCAGAAAAAAAGGGTTTTTTTTTCAAAACCTGGTATCTTACCTTTTTACTAAAATCTGGAGGATTACATCTTGGACCCATTGCATGGTACATTGGTGCTATGGTGCCCCTTAGAATATTGTGAGAAGTAAACAGAGATGCAAGCGTAGCTGTGTCTGTAATGCCACAATATACGTTTTATTCTTTCTTTCTGCAGTTATAAGAGTGTGGTGACCCCCAAACGTGCAGGGGTTGCTATTGGATGCTGCTGGCTGATCTCCTTCCTTGTGGGGCTCACTCCGATGTTTGGCTGGAACAAACTGAAGGAACAGCAAGAGTCAAACTCCAGCCAACCAGATACTGTGGTTTGCCAATTTGAAAATGTCATCAGCATGGAGTACATGGTGTATTTCAACTTCTTCGTGTGGGTATTGCCTCCACTGGTCTTTATGCTCATCATCTACCTGGAGGTCTTCAAAATTATTCGTAAGCAGCTCAACAAAAAGGTTGGATCCAACTCAGCATACCCAGAAAAATATTATGGGAAGGAACTGCAAATCGCCAAGTCTCTTGCCTTGGTGCTATTCCTTTTTGCTCTCAGCTGGCTCCCTCTGCACACTTGTAACTGTATCCACCTGTTCTGCTCCACATGCGAGACCCCGAGCGCCCTCACCTCTATTGCTGTATTTATGACTCATGGAAATTCAGCCATGAACCCTATTGTTTATGCATTTAGGATTAAAAAATTCAGGACCACATTCCTGCAAATCTGGAACCAGTATTTTTATTGCAAAGTGGACAAGAATGCAAATAATATTGTTAACACTGACATTGCTATTTAGGAGTTATGGACTGGGGTGTTTGGGGCCGCAGCCTTCATACTGTACAGGAGGATCTATAAACATTCCTTTCATTGTCCAAGTGACCTGGGTGGAGCAGGCAAAGCTCAGAGGCACCCACAAATACTATTTATTACTTCTACTAGTAATATTCACTGTACCACTTGGTATTCTATGACCTGTTCTTAAATTGACACATATTTACACATTTAAAGGGAAATTATACCAACAAAAAGATGTGACATATCTTTCATTCCAATAAAGAGGAAATGAATCTCAGTGATTTTCTTGTGGAAATCTGCTTTTCCTGTGGGGGTTTGCAATATACTGTAGTGACTCAAATGTTGAAGTCCTCAATAGTCATAATAGGAGAATCCAGAGGAATAAAGGAAATGTGGAGAAAAACCTTGTGTTCAATGGTTATAAAATATGGCCACTACCTATATTTAATACTGACAAATATAATAACTAATAAGTTTTTGTATGAGCAAGATCAGAGGGGCAATTCATATTCTCATATGCTCAGCAGCTCAGTGCCAGTCACAAGCTTAATTTAGGTGCTACTAAGTATTATGTGATTTTTTTTCTTGCTGCCATAATCTTTGCATATATAATCCCAGATTATACCTATTATTAATTTACTACGTCTGCAAAAATCCAGTTGAATATTAGACAACAGTGGGTTCTGCCAACTCAGTGAGATTCAATAGGAAAGGCACTCCGCAAATCCTGACTCCTAGGGAATTTCACCATCAAAGACCCAGAGCAGGAACCTTCTCTGTGGTGGTTCCCCTCCTCTGGAACAGTGTATCCCTGAAGATAGTGTTGACCCATCCTTGTTGCAGTTGCTGATATCTATTAAGACCTGGATTTCCTAGAGGATCTTTGTGGACAAGTAAGCTGTGATGGTCCTGAGTAGAAGCAGTGCCAGTTGACTGTGGGTTACTGAGACTTTTTGTAAGTTTAGATAATGGGAATTGATTGCATTTTTATCTTAGTACTGGGAATGTAAACCATGCAGAGCTGTTATCGACTGGAGTGACATATAAGCCTAAATAAATAAATGAATACCACTTAGTTAGTTTTCTGTGTCTCTTTGCTGCCATTTAGTAATCATATGGACTTTTGCTACCCATATCTAGTAGCCCTTGATGAAGAAATTATTTAAGTTTTCATTTCAACTTCCTTCTTTATTGGTCATTACAGCAATGCAACTTATAGCAAATTGGCTGTGCACAGTTCTAAGGACAGTTTGGCATCTAAGGATAAAATGCCTGTCCAAAAATGAGAGAATATTAAGTTAAATTATTTGACTATTTGCTGTCATTTAATGTGCTTCAAATCTGCCACCTTTGTCTTGACATCTCACTTTGCCAAGTGATAATACAAACCTTCACTTTGTTAAATACATACATCATGACTGCAGTTAAACTTGTATTCAGGGCAATTTTTAAATAGTATTGATTTGTTCCTGTGAGCTTCCTAGAGATAAATAACTGGAAGAAGCAGGTCCTCCACTCTAGATGTTGGATTACAATGTTGATCATCCTGGATAATTGGCTATGCCAGAGTCCAGCAGCAAGAGGGCAACAGATTCTTCATTCCCAGATAAAAAAATAAATCCTTCTCTTCCCTGCCCTAGCATGGTGAGGTCTGAAATTTAGCATGTAACTGATCTAGTCATGCAAATGAGATTAAATTCACCTTTCCCACCTGGGAGGAACATCTAAACAAGTAGAACAGAACATACATTACAGTAGCTTTCTTGAGGAGGAGGAGGATTCAGGCCCTGAAAAAAATCTATAGATATTAAGACACCAGGCTAGATAATGAACTGTCAGATCAAGTAATATCAGTGAGTTCAAAAAACTGACATAAACAAGAAACCTACCCAGGACCAGGCCAAGAAGTTGATTGTGGCTTGTGTTTCATTTATTAGTTTGTTCCAGTCTTAATGTTGAATGTGCTGAGTGCATGCACTGCTGAACCTAATGTAGATTAATTAACAGTATAGCTAGGTAGTAGATTTTCCTCTCCTTTTGTCAGAGGTATTATACTGATATCCTGAAAACAATTCTATTTAGCAATTTGAGCAGTACAGTTGCCTAGTGCAGACTAGACTGACCTACAGATTACAAAATTATCATTTCTACAAAATTGAAGAACATTAGCTCACAGAGCGTATAATCAATGACGGCTGCCTCGTATGTATTGCTTTGCTTCTACTGAAAATAAATAACCTTTCCTACCCCTTTCTTTCCTTGCCTCCTGCTACAAAACATCATACCCTACTGTCCTTTAAAAGGCAGGAAAGGAACTTCTGAAAGAATACATCAGTTGATTATTGACCTCCACATTGATCATTGTGGAACCCCAGTTTCCCCAAGCTACTTTCAAACAGAAGTTCTACCACCAAGACCAGCATACTATGCAAACGTAAAGCAGTGTGAAGAAAGAAAGGCCCAGAAGCTGCCATGGTCAAGGACTAGAGGTCCAGTTAACAAGCAATAGCTTTCTGCTTCCACTTGCAAGGTTGTTTGGAAGTACTCCTATTTCAACAGTGCGCATATCATAGCACCACTGTCCCAAACTTCCTTTCCATATGATTACCAGCTTAATAAATGTCTGTGGCATTCATGAAAAAAGTAGTCCTGTGTTCTGAGATTTGCTGGAATCTCATTTTTTTTTCAGTGGAGAAAAAAGAGAAATAGTCTAACACCAGCTTAAAAATACTTCAGCAAGAGTTCTTATCTAATTAGTTCATGCCTAAAGAGAAAGTAGGCTACCAGCTTTTAATAATAAGAAAAGAGACATCTATTGAAACAGCTAAGAGCAAGAATGTCTTTATATAGGTAGTTGTGGGGAAGGGAATTACACCAAATTGCCTGACCTTTTTTTCCCCTTGTCCTTCAGAGACAAGTGCTAAAAACAAGCAGAGGAAAAAGAGGAATACATAGTCACTTGCAGGTATCATAAATTCCCCTGAAAAACCCTTCCATTATTCTAAGCGCAAGAATAATATACTTAGAAGGGAAGGGGAAAAGACAAAAAGAACAATGCAGGCGCCTCCATTTTTCTCTGTCTCTCTTTCTCTCTGTCCTCCTAGTCACGTATAAGGTGAGTCCTTCCATTGCTCCTAGAAATTGCTAAGGATCTCCGTCTGGCATTGGTTCCTCTTCAGGAAAATCACAAGGCAACACCCGTGATGTAACTCTCTTTCAAGAATCTAACTGTAATAGTTTAACATTTCTGAGTTTTTAATCAAACAAGGATACTGCAAAACTAGAGAAAATGCTGAAACAGATAACCAAAATTACCAATAGGCTATAGCACACCGGGAAAGCCCACAATGTTTAGGCTTTTTTAGCAAAAGAAACAGATGAATACGGAGGATTATGATAAAGGTTTCCAAAATTATCCCTGCAGTGGACAACTTTACTTCTTTTATCATAATGCTAGTGCTCAGGGGCTACATATTTCTCCAACTGCTGAAGAACCCAATGCCAAAGTAACTCTAAATGCCAGTTACTGCAAAGAATAAGCAGCAGGATGCCATTTTGCTCTACTCTGTTTTTTGGTTGGCATTGGCTTGGCAAAAAACAGGGTGCAAAAGTAGATGGGTCTTTGTTATGATTCCAGAGGCTATTCTGATGAGCTTGCAGAGTGTATTGTCGAAGGCTTTCACGGCTGGCATACAATGACTGGTGTGGGTCTTCCGGGCTGTGTGGCCGTGTTCTGGAAGTTTTGTTTCCTAACTTTGTTTCCTAACTT